AGCCAATTATTCAATCTAATCAACTAATGTGGAAATAACTAACTATGATGCTAAAATGGAAACTAGGGTTTGGCAAAACCCTAATCCTCAGGTGTAGCTTCAATACTCATTACCGGACCGCGATCACCTTCACTTGAGTGTACGAATCTTTCAAAAGACTTGTGTATGGCTTGAATAAAAACATTGAGTTGTTCACGAAGTCTCTTCGCACGAGCCCTAGTAATGGATCCGCTTGGAGTTTGCATGTGATCCTCAGCCCCTCGGTCACGTATCATGATGCTATCACACTCAATCTTACATCTTTTCACCTCAAATTCACCGTACAAACTTAAAACAACTTGGAGATCATCTTGGACTAGGAAGAGGGCTTCATTCTCACAGTTTTCTTGGAGTTCTAGTGACCAAAATTTTCTGGTTTATCATCACCTAGGAGGTAATCATCATCCAACCTTTGAATCTTAGTTCTAGTGAGTTAAATTTCACTTAGAAGCTTGTAGCTTCATGTGGGTAACTTGGGTTGGTTGAAAATCATGTGAGTGGGCTCTATGAAATCCCACAATGGACTTGTTGGGCTGATATCATGATTTTGGATATTATTTATGTTGATTAAGTGTTAGATTAGTGGATATAAGTTGAAAAAGTGAAAAGAAAATCAAAGGAAACCAAAAGCTAAGAAGGGCCGATTCTGCCCTGTTCTTGCCGCAACCTTAGTTCGAAAGTTTTGTGATCAAATTGCCTTGATTTTGATATAGATATGTTGTATAGGTTGTGTGGAAAGTTTTCACCAAAAATCACTTGATTTGGTTGGCTAAAGGTTGCATTTTCAAAAATTCTTCAAACTTGGAAAACGTGTACAGAGGTGCTCTGGCAGCGAATTTTAAATGATCATAACTCTTTGCTCCGATATCGAAATCGAGTGCCGTTTGTGGCATTTGAAACTAGACACTTCCTGTTTTCTAATGGTGTAAAATGCATCCCCTGATTCGACTTGACTGAACCGTGCTAGCTTTTCAAAATTACCTGTTCTGTTTTGTTGCTGTGCTAGAGAGTCAATGAGGTGCTGGGAGTTGTTGCTTGAATTTAAGCTAGCTATGAACAGAATTTCAAAAACGATTTCTTCTGAGAAATTATACCCTTATGAATGTAGTTTCCAACTCCACCAACTGTGCCCCATTCTAAGTTGAATTGAGTGAGTTATGGCCAAATTACAGACCTGCACCAGAGAAAGAAAACCCTAATTTTGGGCTAGCCGATGGCTTAGCTCGAATTGGGACTTGTTATTTTGAAAATTTTGGTGTTAATCACCTACCAAATGTATGTTGGATGTTTCCTAGATTTTTCCTTCATAAATGAACCATGTTTTAGATGATTTCATTGGCTAAAGGTTCGAATAAAAAAGGAAAACGGAATCATAAGGCAGAATTGCCTTGGATATTCCTGGAACTTTAGTGGTCTTGTTAACTGACTTCCCGTACGAATTTTTGCATGATATTTGATAGAGGAGTAGCCTTATATGGTAGTGAAATCATACCAAATTTGGTGCCATTCCGAGTCTATTTTAATGCCCAACTGAAGTCCCAAATTTCATGTTTCAAATCTGGGAATTCTTGATCAATGAGGAATTTTTATCCAACTTTGAGCTGCTATATCTTGGCGCTCAAAACTTCAATTTTAGTTCCACTTATTGTGTTTTAAACCTTGATTATAATTCTATTTTAGTTTCAAATTTGAGAGGTTAGTTCACATTCTTTGAATTTTTTCGAATTTTCAAAATTTGCCAAAAACCAACCCCGAATCTGTCTTGGGAGTCCAAATCAGCAACTTGAAGCCAAATTTTGAGTGTCTTCCCTTTTGAATCATGGAAAAGTACCTTCTAAGAACTTTTCGCACTTTGGAATTAGTTTCCAACGGTACCAAGTTTTCCAATTTTGGACCTACGGAGAGTGAAATATGATTTTTCAAAGAATGCACCTCAAATCTGGAATTTCTGAACTTGAAGGGAATTGAGTTTTTAGAAACTCTCCATTTCCGTTCAATATTGCTTGATCATTTTACACTTGATTTCAAAGATGAAAATCAGTTTTCCTTGTATTATTAAACCCCATTTTTGAGTTTCGATTTACGAGTAATTAAGGCTCTCTTTCATGATATTTTCTTAGATTGTACAAGGGTACAATCTCTTTCTTGTTAATAAGGGGTTTAAAAGTGATAGTGTGTAATTGTAAATTATTTGTTCAGGTACGCAAGGAGACCTTCAAGAGGATCTCACAAGGGACGCCTAAATACTTGACTGTGCACCACTCTTATTTTGATTAGGTGAGTGTCAAGTGCATGACTTGATGTATTTACTTGATCTATTTTGCTCATATGCATGAATGTTACTTGATGAGACGAGTATGTACTTTATCGTACTTGCTCTCCTTTACTCGAACTTTACTTGCATTAAACTTGATTTTTAAAGTCGATTGGAGTGAATCTCATCGGCAAAATATACCTGTTTTCATGTGCATGTCGTGTTATCGTGCGTGTCGTGATATCGAGTGGAGTGAACCTCCTCGACTTATGGGGACACCCAATTCTCTTAGCCAATCTTGCAACTCAAGCCGGCATGGGCTTGGTCGAGAAGCTTGATGAACCAAGAGAATAACAAAACAAAGCTTGATCTTTTTGAGATTTTGTTCGGCATACTTGGCGAGTATTGCCCTTTTCGTGCGTGTTTGGTTACGGATCCGAGAGTGTGGAATGATGGATGAAGGAAGTAATAAGTGAAGTTTCTATGGACATAATTACTACTCGAATGACGGAGCGTCATCACGAGGGAATATCGGATCGAACCGTGGCAAAGCAAGTGAAAATTAGCTCCTGAGAGCTCCTGTATCCTACTCAAGTGTGTTTAATTGTTAATCGTGAATTACTTGACTTTATCGCTTTATTTATGGTATAAATGTTATTGATACTTGAACTACGTGCTTGCATAATTTTCTTGGCCTCACTGAGTATCGGCTCATCCCATTATTTTGTTTTCCTTAACAGGAACTGGAATGGAAGAAGTTAAGGAAATGCCGACTTGGGAAACTTTTATATTGATGTTTTGATTGTAATCGACTATACACTTTTGGATGTTGTATATTTCGGGGAATGTGATTGTAAGTTTGAAATTGTGGTGTAAGATTAAATATTTATATATGGAAATGACTTCGTACCTTTATTTCGATTTTTATTGTTAGTATTAGACTTTAAGTTTGAATTGGAATTGTCTTGAGTCCTGGCGAGAGTTTGGCAGGTGTCCTGCGGATACCCTTGGATTCGCCCTTGGGAGAAGTGGAGCATCACAAAAAAACAAGATGACTCAAATGATCAAAGGAAAATTTTGTTGAGACTCAAATGTATTACTATTCGAGTAAGCAAAGTGACTGAAAACAAAGAAGGGAAAAACAAGATGACATTGGACATGAAATAAACTTCTAAGTAGAATTGGATTTACTACTTTCGGGTGAGTTCTATTCCTGGCAAGCTAGAAAAAATTAGCAAGATTGGTCGAAAGTCAGCTTTTAGTTTCACAAGCATAGTTCAAAAATTTTTGAGTGCTTTATTTTGTTTACTTGAATAATATGTGTAGAGGTATTATTGTAATTGATGAATACATGCAAATGAAATCTTAAACAACGATTTCAAGATGTGCCATGAAAGCCCAACTTCAGCGTAACGGGCTTCTTCTCAGTCTCAAATGGTTGATGGTAACAAACATATTGCTTTATTTAATTGTATTTAAAATAAAGAGCAAATACCCAAATAATCCCTGAAATGTACATTCTTAACTCATTCCATTGATTTGTTTTTAATTTGCTAGAATTTATGGCCTTTTGGCAGAAATTGGCATTAAAGCGATACCTTATTTTTAAAAGAACATTTTAACTTTCTCTATTACAAGAACTATTTCTCTTAACATTATTTTTGTTTTAATTTAATATGTAAGGCCTTGCATTACACATGCGAAATTGCTAGTAGAGTAAAGTATCGTAGCGCGAAATTTTTAATATGAAGAAGTGAGAAATTACCCAATATCAAGCTTTCAAGCTGAAGAAGAATCAGCAAAGAACAGAGGTAAAGGCAACAAAATTTGCGAATATTTTTGTGGACAAAGTTACAAGTAAACAATTTTTGTAGTTAGATTTAGCGCCTATGAATTCTAAAATATTTTCCAAGTGGTCAAATTCAAGTACTTATTTCTCGTTTGCTAATAGAAATGTGTTTACGGTCTCTAGCCTGATCATCCACTTGACCATAATTCAACTGGATGATCAGATTTTGTAGGACATTTAGAGGCATTGTGGTCAGAGGGCGACCTGCTGTATCTAGGAAGATGTAAAAAATAATAATAATAATAATAATAACCTAAATTTAAATTTAAAATAAAAATTTTATATATGTATCATGCATTCAACCATAATAATGTATATAATAATATATATATATATAATATTAACTCTTATACTGGCATAGCCAAAGCCCAGGAAGCAAGACAAAATAGAAACTCTTTTTTTGTTTTTTAGTATCATGTTTGGTCTGTGAGCGTAAATAGTATGCAAAAGGCTGTTCTTTTCACCGAGACTCAAAGTTTATAACTGAAGTAAATGCTTAGGGGTACTCCACCTGAGTACACGTTTTTGCAAAATCAATAGAAGTTACAGAGGTTACCAGAAAAAAAAAAAAAAAAAAAAAAAAAAAAAAAGGTTTGTTTCCCGTCCAATATCATATAGAGGAAGAGAGGAAGATATTGCTTTTAAATTTTATTTTCTTTCCATTGCACAGCGCCAAAGAATAAACAAATAAATAAATAACCAAGTTGCCCAAGTTCATCTTCAAAGCTCCAATGCTTCATTACAGTTTACCATCTGATGATGCTAAAGAAAATTTTCATCGGATGATAATCCAATAGACAACCAAGCTAATAAAACTCTAGTATTTCAGCTAGACCAAAAACTTTCGGCAACATAGGATCAGGCGAAACTAGACACTGTCATAACATTCTTTCACAGTATCCATCTGAATACAATTGAAACATGAAAAAAATACAAAGCTTCCCTCAAGCAATAGATAATACGGCGCTATTATGGCCACTTAATGAGCATGAGAATCAACCAAATTTCAAAAAGAAGCGGCAAATTTTGTTTTTATCCCAAACTACATGCAAACCCCCACATCATTGAGCTTGATCTTTCAAGTGCTTCTCAAACTCTCAAATTCTAATATTCATTTCAAGAGCCCTCAATTACTCTTGTTTTCAGAGATACACTCACATAGGAATTATTAAATGCCACGGGGAGTGAATGTCTACTATATGTGTTCACCATTTCAAATGACACATGATCTGCATCTTGCAACAGGCAGAAGCCCGCACAGATAGGCAACAGAGCAATCTCTTTATCCTGGTACAGAGCTTTGCACCAAATGCAACCATATCATGGAACTGCAGCGTGAGCTTTCTTTACTGTCGTCAACAGAAGCCATTCTGGTAACAGGTCATACAGAGTGTGCACGATGCAGCAACAATAACCAATGATGTCAAGATTAAGGAACAAATTACAGCTAAACCAACAACCACCATAGAAGTAAAACGTCTAGAGAAATAACTGACAGCTTATTGCCACACAACTTTACGAGCGTAAAGCACATTGACCCCTGTCAGGGGGTAATAGGGCATCCAGACTTCATAGCATCAAATTTAAGAAAAGTTTCAGTCCAAAACTGAGAGCTTTTGAGATGAAATGTACATTCTTAACATGCAAAGAAAAGATACCACAAAGTACTACTACTATTTAGAGTTTCAAACCGTATATGAAACGCTGAATTGAAGACAGTAATTCCAGACAGAAAGCACAGATCCAATTGACTGAATCAGCAAGGTACACCCAGAAACCTTTTAAAACATTAAAAATAACACCATGTTGAACAAAATCTCTACGGTGCGACCAGAAACCTTCCCAAAATCAAGACATCGCAAAGTTCAGTTTTTCAACCCTATTGGCAACATTAAAATGTACTCTAAGAAGATTGGTAAAACATACCTATCTAACTTTTCTAGCGTGTCCAACAAGAAAAAGAGTTGACTCCCTTGAAAAACATATTCAACTAACTGTGTTCCTAATTCATGGAACATTCTTTCAAAAGCACGCAATGCTTTTGGGAAAGAAAACACAACTATGGACCAATATTGTAGTCTACTCTTATGCTGGTTGTGGTCAACCACTACTCTGAAATTTAAAATTAGTTTTTGAAAAGAATGGGTGAATTCATAAGTTGCAGGATTACAAATACTCTTCCCAAAACACTACCAACAGGCTGCCTGAAAAAAAACCTAAAATAGAATTGCATGATCATGTTCCCATTAAGGTACATCCAGAACACTACCCCCATGAGTTTGGTTGCATGATTCTTACAAAGATCCCAAATTTGACACGGCTAGAGCTGCAATATGCACCGTTAAGCTCAGGGTTTCTTAAACTGAGGTAGCATCATTTACTTCAGGCACTCAAAACAGTTCTCTCTCTCTCTCTCTCTCTCTCTCTCTCACGCAGCCCCCAGATATATCATATCAGCATGGTGTAGTTGCCCAGATATATCATCATGCCCAGATAAAGCTGGAACAAGTGTTTAGTTGCCACAGGTCTAACACCCCAATATTTGGCAGTTCAAATTGAACCAAAAATGAAGCACCATTTTTCTCTTCTTCTGTGAAAGAAAGATGCCTCAGGGGAAGAGGAATGATGCAATGAGAGGACTTTTTCAGAATCGCAAGGATTACTGACAGAAAACAAAGATCTTTGTCCTCTCATGCTGCCTGACCTAGACTACAGCTCACTGACTTGATTTTTAAAAAGACTTAATTAGATGGGAATATGGGAACGGGAAACAAGAAAGCGAAACAACATGCACAAGATTCATTCTATAGAACACATTATTGGTACATCAGGTCTATGATAAGAAAGTATGTTAACACCAGAAAAGTGTAGAAGTGCAAGCTACCACATCTGAGAATAATTTTATCCTTTTAGTGGAAGCATGTATAGATTCTGCATTCTTTTTCTTTTTTTCTTTTTTTCTAGTAGGGGAGGGATGGAATTTAAGAAGCAGGGAGGGGGAAGAAGGATTTGAACTCAAGACCTTCTAAGGTTCCGTTTGATAAAACTAAATCTGAATTCTGAAATCTAAATACTGAAACAATTAATTTGCTGAATTTTAAGCACTGAAAAGAAAGATATAAATGTCTGAATTTTAATGGTAAACCTATTTATACTGTTCGATAAACATTTATAACTGAATGCTTTATAAGTTAAATTTAACAATTTTGCCCTTATACCTTTACATCCAAAAAAGAAATAGAACCTATGTTTAATTAGCTTAAAATTGTTAGGTATAAAAATGACAATATTTATTTTTAGATTAAATTAATATAAAAGATGAAATATATTATATGAGGAGTATGGAGAAGGTGTGAAAGTCATTAAAAAGGGAGAAAAGAGAAATAGAAAATCATTAGATAGAGAATATTAGGTTATTTTATTAGATAAGAATTTTGAACATAATTAACAAACAATGATAGATTTAGTAGATAAGATAAGATAGTTGAAGTAATTCTATTGATTCTTATCAGAATTAAGCATTCAGTTAGGATTCTTGTACTGAAAAAAATACACACAAGTTCAGCACTATTTAACAAGTTCAGCAAATGGATTTTCATTTATCAAACACTCAAAACATCCGAATGTCTGAAAAAGTTTAGATGCAGCACTTTTTTATGTTATCAAACAGACCCTAAGTCTTGAGGTCTCAACCTCGGCCACTAGACTAAGGCCTCCTCAGCATCTAGATTCTTCATTCAATTAGCATCATTTCAATTTCAAACATGAATAAAATGCTGAAAATTCGACAAAACATGAATTTTGGTATCAAGCAAACTCTAAGTCTAAAATAAGATCCTCCACTGCCAACAAAAGAAGCCTCAAAATAGTCATGAATCAAGAGCTATAAACATCATTCGAACCTACTAGCCAACACCGCACTATATACACTCCATAAAAGCAAGTTCAAAACACATTTTATTTCCCAAGATAAGAAAAGACAGTTTAAGAACTCTTCATAAATTGCTGAATGGAACTCACTAGCTCATGTTGCTTCCTATGTAAAAGTGCCAGTGCTACTGCATAAAGGGAGGCTCATATGCATTCATGGCTCATATTTGCAACAGAGGTGTCAATAACCACAAATTTTAATTGGATATTTCATTATAATACCTTATTGAATCCATTTACAATCTACAATGTGAACATGACAACTTGAAAAATGCACCTTCTAAGTATTAGGAATTGTAGATTAAGGTGGTCTCATGGATGCAGGCTAGAGTTTATGCATTGTGTTTGTAACCTGTGTAGAAAACCACAAAAACAAAGATTGGACTCTACTATCCAAATTACACTGGGGAGCTGCAAATATCTCATTCAAAATGGTTACTCATGTTCTCTACTAATCCAAGCAGAACCTGTATATCAAAGACAGCACACACTGTTAACATTCATTGTATCCAAGCTACAACATAGGGCCTTTTTTTTAACTTTTATACAACCACCTGAGATGGTGGGGGATTTGTTAGGAGCCCCACCTAGTTTATGTCAAACCTCTTCTCTGCTTCTCTCTTTTGTCTTTTAAAATAAGATGGTCGCTCATGTTCTGCATGAGCCCAGGAAGAACCTGTACATAGAAGACGGGGGCATTCTTAACTGTATCCTGTAGGGTCTTCTCATTTTTTTTTTTTGCTTTTTCTTTGTTTAAATTAACTTCAATACAATCACATGAGATTGAGGGGGTTCAATAGGACCCAACCAGATTTACATCAAAGGGAAAAAAGGGAGGGGCACTTCTCATCTTTCACTTTCTTTCTCTCACCATTTTTGGGTGTCCATGCAAGGATTTTTTTAAAACAAGTTTTAGCGGCAAAGATGCATGATCAAGCACCTGTTGAGCTTGTAAATTATTGCGGACTCTAAAAATGGCAAGGATGTTTTTGCCATTCTCCTTCCCTTTTGCCTATTTTCTGTGTCTATACACAATAGTGTCAATTACTTTCATGTTGCCACTTGTCTAAAATCAAATCAGAAAAGTTTTCCAACTACAACAGGCTAAATATGTTTAGGCAACCAATAAGCATCATAAGTTGCATCACTATATTCAAGGGGATGATTAAAAAGTATTACTATAATAGTGCATACTCTGCAATGATCAATTGCAACCAAAACAGCAAAATCAGAAATGAACATGAGGAAACTTCTTTACTTTGAGCTATTAGTATATATAATTCGCTGATAATGCATTTCAACTAAATACCTAACATTCTGCACAAACTAAATATGAGCAAAAAGTTTTTAGGTAAAGGCAACTAGCTTTGCATTTACGTACTAGCCATCAAAGCAACAGATATTTCCAAAAAAAAAAATTCAGAACCTTACTCATGAGGCGAGTTGAAGGTGAACGTAGCCACTACATTCTGAGTGCAATAGTGCCAGTTCCACCTCAAACAACACTGCACCAGAATATGAGAGTATAACTCATTAACCTTCTTTATTCTAATGTAGAAAATATTCTAATACTCTTATAGCCAATTCCACCACAACCTAAAGTAAGTGACCCGTGATAATACAGCTAGTAAGCTGCCTTGTAGGAAAAAGCACAGTGAGTTGGAAGAAAAGAAAAAGAGTAATAATGAGATCTTAACGAAGTACCAACACAAATTTTCAGGATTAACAGGGTACAGAAATGATAGACTACCACTGCATAACTGAAAATCCTACTGGCTAAAGTGGAAATTTATTTTTCCTTTAGAAGGCTTTCTAGAAATCAAATCCAGTAGTAGTATGATTTGTATATTACAAAAATGCACAACATGATTGCAAGACGGCTTTGGTTTTCAAATTATGTGCATTATGATTACCACAACAAAAAAAAAGGGAAGCCATATTAGCAAGTGGACCAGTTCACCAAATCCAGATTCTATAAACCATTATACATCAGTTAAGATACTTGATTTATTACTTCAGTCATGTCGTCGTCCATACAATCCAAGTCCTTCATATTCACATTAGCTTCATTTTTAGTAGCTCTGTTATTCACTCTCCTACTCTTCAGTATAATCTCTGATTCCTTCATCAGATTAATATACTTCTTCCTCACATTCGCAATTGGATGGGCCTCAATAGCTGACTTTTCACGATAAGCTTCTTTAAGGATAACAGTGCAAGTCTTGTTCCTTAAAGATAGATAAAACATATGAGGATGCCTCTCAAACGCCTTGTGAACTTTCTGTGGCAACCCCAAGCACTTTCTTAAACACAAAAGCCTTTTCCTCTCAGCAGCATGCTCAACAAAGAGACCAAGCAGCTCATGAAGAATACCAACTACCCGCTTCTCAGACAAATCACTATCCATTTTCAAGTCAGAGGAATCCTCATATGGTGAAACATATGGAAGCCTCTGAAATTCATTCATCCAATCAGAAATCTTCCTCTTCAGCCTCAAACCCTTTGATGGAAATAATGGAAATACGATTGCCTCCCTTTCACCACCAGCATAGACTCCTTTCTTCATTGCGTTCTGTTGTAGTATTGACATCATTGCTCCATCATTACCATCACTCCCAACAGCAAGTCCCTTCAACTCATCTCCCATTTCAACAATCCTGAAGTGCCCATCAAGATTGCTTTCCGGGTGCCTTAAAAACTCATCTGGCAGCCCCAAGTACCATTGCAAACCTTGAATTACCTTCAAAGGCAACACTTTTTGCTCTCCAACACTCATTAAAATCAACTTCTTTAACCTATCAACTATATCATTTTTATGTTCTTCATAAACCTCTCTCTCCTCTTTATCAAGCTGAATAGCTGTAGGGGTCAGTTTAAACCATGGTAAATTATATTTAGGACCTTCAAACTCCTCAAAAAAAGATGGGTATTTTCTCAAGAACCTAGCTACCTTAAATGGTATCCCCAATTCCAGACCTCTCTTTGAGACAGCAGAGATGGGGATGCAGTAGTCCTGTGGTGAGGCTGAGACTATGCAGTTTTTCAAGGCGATGATGGGTTTGAGTTCAATTGATCTGTGGATGGATTCAATTGATTCAAAATATGTGTCTTTCTTCCAGTCCATGTAGACATCTACATAAGCACGTCTTTGGATGAATACGTGGGAAAGATTCCGGCAGTTGGAGAGAGAATGAAGCGAATTTTGACAAGAGAAGAAGAAGATTTTTTGCAGGAGGTTTCTAGCACAACCTTTCTGGTTCGGCATGCCTATCTGATTTGAGATTCTGTGGGAAATTTCAGAGTCAATAAGATATTTTTCTCATTTTTTTGCACACCAATTTTTAATTTTGCAGTTTTCACTAGAGTGTTCGGTTTCTGTAAACTTTTAAACACGGTTCTCCCACTAGGGAATCAGAAATCAACAATCACATAGAAAACAACAACATGAAACAAGTTTAACAGCCCAAAACTAACCTTTTGAAAAGCTACTTATGAGAAGACCCACATTTAAATTTGCAAGCATAAGTATAATTAAGAATTAACTAATAATGAATCTAAGAATTAACTAATATAATCCCAGTGGCCAACTTGAAAACATGAAAAAAGAAAGTACTTAAATTAACAATTACAGGAACATAAGGGAAATTAAATTACAGTTAACAAAAATTTTAGGGACGGAAACCAAAAACAATAAGAATCTGTCTTCCGGAACCTAATTGAAAACTTATCAAACAAAGTTCCAGGGCCAATCTGCAGACATAGAAATTAGAGGCAAAACCGAAAACAAGGAAAAGTTGAGGGACTAAATTTAGAATTTTGGAAAAAAAAATCACTCTCCCAAGCGAGCAAGCTTCTGGGTCTCCATTTTCGCTCTGTTTTCTTTCCTCCAAGCTCAAGTACAGCACGAGAAAAAACCTCCTCCGGCCAGCATTTGGGCATTAAAATCTGTTTACTGGTTTCCAATTTTTCTTTCCATTTGGGCATTTTATCAAACACTAAATAGACAAGTAAAAGTCTAAGACTATTCCAGCTACAGAAAAGTCTGAAATTCTCTGTTTCAACCAAATTAACCATCTTTGCAGCAGTAACACAACAAAAGAATCACACGCAAAAAATCACTCCACCATGCTAGGTTAGAAGTAAGACGGACAGTAAGGCCAATTTCACATACTCTCTGCATGAACTTCAAGAAAACTAAAAGTTGAAAGAGAAACGAGAATTTTACAGTATTTCTTTATTGAAGAAGGTTGTGGTGGCGATGGTTTTCCTGCAAAAACGACACCGGCTTGCTCCCCAGCTCGTTCTCCCGGTGGATTTTTTTTTTTTTTTTTTGGATTGGGCAAAAATGTTTTATGAGAGATGAAAGGACTCCTTCTCCAGGTAAAGTCTTTTCATGTTGTATTCTTCTTCATTTTTTAAAATTAATAATGGGATTGGGGATTTCTGTTGGGCTCCATTTGAAAAATAAGAAAAGACAATTGGACCTCCAATTCAATTGGCCTACATGCATGTTTGTCTTTTTGAACCCAAAAAGAATTAAACAGGAGGTTCAAGTGAGAATTTTCTTTGAATTCATGCCACAAGCCTAGGAAAATCGAGTTTAAAAATAAAATGCCTACACTTTTCAAAAACAAAAAAAAAAAAAAAAGGGGTGCCTACCTGCTAATAATTTCTTTAAGGCTGCATTTGGTTCTATAGAATTGGAATCACAATTCTATAAAATTGTAATTCTATAAATTTTAATTCCAAAGCATTTGAATTCCTTGGTTTGGCAAATGCATAGAATTGATGTGGAATTCAATTGAAATTCCTACTTCTTTATTGGACGGTTAAAAATTATTGAAATCCACATAGAATTAAAAATTTGTATACTATTAAATAAATAGTCCATAATAATGACAGTTTTACTATAGCCTACAACTAGATCTCTCTAAAGCTCTATTATATTGCTAGTAGACAATAATTATGTAATTCACCATCTAACATGTTACTATTAGAAATTAAGAATCTAAATTATAGAAAACCAAAATGTTATGTCAAAAAAAAAAAAAAAGCATAGCTTTGACCTTTGACAAATATTTGAACTGTGCCTCCTGCAACAAATTCCAATATATAACTATGAAAGCAAAGTGATTAAACAAAAAAAAAAAAAAGAGAGAAGCACAATTATACATTGTTCATCTGCTAGTAAATCAAAATTATGACGAGATTGTTTCTTTTAGGAAAAAAAGTGTAGACATATCATCAATTGCAGCCCTAACCACAAACATAGGGGCGTCAATTAGTCTAACTAACTCGAACACTTCTCTATTTAAACTTATATTTATAACGAGTTTAAAATTATGTTCAAACTCGTTTGTTCATTTATTGAGCCAAATCCAAATGAATTTTAATCTAAAATCGAGCTCGAACTAAATCTTTTACATGTAAATTTCAAATGTTGTATTAATTGACTCAAACTCTAATGGAATTTCAAGCTTTCATAAACACAAAATGCTATTTTTTTTATTTGGTTTTAATTAGTTGGTGAACTAGATTCAAACAAGCACAAATTGAGTCAGAGTCAATTCTTCTATTAAGTATTTTTAGTCGCCATCAATCCTAATCACAAACAGACATGCTAAAAGTACACACACTATAAAATTTATAACCTAAAAGCCAAAGCAAAAAATGTTGCTAATGAACTAAAGTGGTTGAAAATGTTACCACTGCTATTGATATTCAATAAGGAAAAAATAAAGGCATTCTTAAATTGATACATAAACCAATAAAACAATCCCTATTGAGTCTAAATTTCCATTTCCCTTCTAGAGACACCTTACATATATCTATTTCTACTTCGCAGTCAACACTGAAATCCTTCATTATCTTTTTCTTCTACCACCAAGCTGCTAACATAGCCACAGTAACGAAATGATATGCCACAACTACTCTATATTTTTGCTTTTTGCTCATCTTTATATTGATCTATATGGTGATCCATCTTATGAAATTCAAAAGTAAGACAAGAAAAGGGTAAGTGAACCGATGAAAAATACTTCGACACAACACACCAGAAGAAAAGGAAAAAATAATGCACACCAGACAAACAGCAAAGGCAAGTGAACCTTACCTCCCAACACCAAACAATAAGAAAGTGTGGTCAACCAAAGCTTAGGAGGCTTGCAAATTCTCCGCAAGCTGCGAAGATGGAAAGGGCAGGCAAATTAAAGAAAAATTGGATCGTTTACTCTTGTTAACATTAGAAAGTACCATCAAATATATTCACAGTAATTTAGTGAGATTAGTGCCATGCTTTAAACAGTTCAAAGGCAAGATTACCATTGTCCCACTAAATTGAATGAGGACAAAGATTTTTGCGCCAAACTAGTGGGAGCAACACTTATTGCAAATAAGCACAGCGAGTACAATTTAGGCATTAAAAACATCAACAAACACATAGCCCTATATTGCCTCACCACTCAACATTAGGCTAATAGTACGAATTAGTGTCCTAGTTTTTAGTTAATCATTAAATCAAACAGAATGCAGTCCATATCTAAAACCATCTTAAACCATATTAGTGAACGAGCTTTGCTTTACTCAATTAATGTCTTCGCTCAAGTAAACTCATTCCAGAAAGTTCTTATTAAGTCAAACAGTATAAATTTTAAGATTACCAAAATACAGTGCAAGTCATCCTTGCAAAACATTCTTCAAAGCAAAGACAAGATCTTATGACCCCCTAAAATCACTCAACAATCACTGACAAACCAAACGGACTATCGAAGTCATTTTCTTGAAAAATCACTTCCTTCTCCATAATTTTCCAATGTTTGGTTATTTAGTGAAAATATTTTCCAAATTCCTTTTTTCATAAATTTCGGATGTTTGGTTTTTCAGTGAAAATATTTTCTAACTTCCTTTTTTAGTATTTGTTGATATGTTGCAAATGTTTTTCTATTCTCAAAACATTCTTCTCATTACATGTTATTTTTACTTTCTATCCATTATAATCATATTATCATTTTTATAAAATACTTATTCAAATTACACCATGAATTCTTAAATGGAAATATTAATGACACTAATGAATTAGCTTTTGATCTTCTTTTAAAAAAAAATATTAACGGGTGAAGAATCTCTTTTATCAAATTGGATGCCGCAACATTTTGTTTGTTGTCTCAAATCAGTGATAATAGAAAAAATTAGGTAACCTCTATACTAGATGCAACATCTTTCATTAAATGAACTAAATAAAACACATTTTTTTGGTTCGTTTTTCATTATTGCACTTGGGCTGGGAAAGAAGAGTTAAAAGTCAAGAAAACCTAACTGAACACTATTCTTATTGGTATAGTATCATGTCATTATCTTGTACCATTGAAAAAACAAGGGAAAAAAAAAATTGAAAGATTGGTCTAGTAGAAGAGTTTCGGTGACTGTTATGCTGGTGCAGATTTATGGAGAAACGGACTTTAGAAGTAGAGAATAGTGATAAAATCAGAGTAAAAGAGGAAGAAGTAGAAGATAACATAGGAATTAACTTAATGAAGTATTAATTAACATATAAGCCGCCTAAATGAACTGATAATGAGGGGAGATCTGTTGTGAGAGATCCTTCTCTCTTCCTGCTGCTGGTCCTTGCCTTTCCTGGAAACTCAATAAGTTTTCTCCATGTATCTTTATCATGTTCCTTACCATGGTTCTCCTACTATAAGTAGAGCTAGATGCTTAAAGGTTAACCTCGAGTCCGAAAATTTGACAGGCATGCGCCATGATATATCCTTTTCATGCAAAACATCCACAAAATGTCACTGGAACAGCCAGGGAATAAAGGCCACAAGTATAACTACTATAGTTCCTTAAAAGAAAAGAGAAAAAATAAACCTTTGGCTAAATCCTATTTTTGTAGGTTTGAATTTTGCCAACAGGGAGAGAACCGGAACAGTTCGCTAAATAAACATAGAACATTTTTTATTGTGAGACATTATGAAACATAGTAAGTGCTTCATTCGACATTTCAATCTTTCTTGAATCTCTCGAGAGAAATCAAACGAAGTCTTTGATTCTTCGTCATAAATGCTTTTCCCAGCTTCTCATTTTGCACCAAATGATTGAATACCAAATCCAGAAAGTCTTCGTTATAACCTTCTATCTTTATAATCTCATCATGTAGTTGGTTGATATCAAGCTTGTTTGTACTAATTTTGTTCAAAGCCTTCTCCACGTTGTTGAGACATCTTTTCAATTTCTTTTACGTTGTTGTTTGGTTCCGATGATGTTGCTCTCACTTCGAAAGATCTTGCACTATTCACGTTCTTTTGAACACTTGTCTCTACACTTGTCTTAGGAAGAAATCTGAGTTTTCAAATTCACATCGATAAATGATTTTGCATGAGACCCGGTGGCCAGATCTTTCCCAGCCACAACAACCATTTCATCATACAATTCGATTTTATTGTGAATATAATTGTTGTGAACTGGATTTTTCTGCATATCATAAACCAGAAATTTCAATCAACCATAGAACAGAATGATCGTGAGAAAACTATTTATACACACATCAACCTTGCAGCGAGTAGAGATATGACACAATTTAGAGACATCTATATAATATACAATAAGAAAAATAAAAATCTTATATAGACAAAAGATGTAAATACATGAAATTACCTGAATATAGGCATGATACACACTGGGACTGGGCCCTATACAAAAAAGTTGATATTAATCTTAGATAATTTCTAAGGTGCATGTATTCTTTTATATTGTCTATTATTTGCTAAATTATATTTTCAATTTTTTGATATCTATACCCTAACTAACACTAAGTTAATAGAAAAAAGGTACAAACCAAATTTGTTTTTTATGTCCTTGTCTAAAATACCTTTATTTGATGTCCCTAACTCATCAATGTATAATACAAAATTGTGGCCATGAAATTGTGGAAAAAGAATAAATTTCTTCAAATAATTTTTGCATTTTAAAATTTATTTCCAAAAATTGAATTACATGGTGTGTGCGCGTGCGCGCGTGTATATTGGTCAAAGTTGAAAGGATGCCTAAAGCAAAAAAAAAAAGGAAAGGAAAATTTTCTTGTAGTAGTATGTATTTTACTTTAAGAAATTAATTCTCACACCATTTTTCACTTCCCTCCGAAATTTCCCTCTTTAAAATGTTGTATTTTTCAATTTTTGTTAGAATAACAACCGTGTATTACTAAACAACCGATTATTGGGAGTAATCTATACTATTATAAAAGTGTCGATGAGTCAATTGCTTTCTCAATTGTCCAATCAAATTGCTCAATTGGAAAATTGGATTGTCAACTTGCAAAACTGAAGACTCTGATTGGTCCAATTTCGGTGGCGATTGCTGTAACTTTGAGCAATTTTAGTGGCAATTTCATAACGTCACCACTAACCACTGAAATTCGTTAAATT